ACGGTACTACTAGTAGTATTACTGGAGGACCCAGTACCGACAATAAAGTGAGGTCTTTCAAAACTGATTCGCCGTCGCGACTCGCGGCTCGAGGCTCGTGACGTGAGCGGCGAGCCTCAACTGAGTGGCGAGGCGAGGCGAGAGTTGGCCGACCGCACAAGATCATCGGGCCACGTGAGTCATTACGTGTACTACGCAGTTTTGTCAAACTCGAAAATTTGTGAGGAGGCCCAACTCACCCCAGTCGCGCGTGGGCTGAGTCGTTGGCCCCGTGCACGATCTTGCGGTGGAAACCGCGCTGTCCCGTTACTGAGCTGGCGAGACGCCGTCTCCCACACCCACTGCTCTTCACCCACTGCTCTACACCCGCTGCACTTCACCCACTGCTCTTCACCCGCCCAACAAACACATGATCCAGCCGAAGCGCGCACAGGAACAAACTTCAGTCCTAGATGCTGTCACTACTTTTCTACAGTGCTACCGTTGGGATGATTCGTACTGCTCCTCCTCCTCTAAGCGGCTCCTCCTTTGATAGCCGGACGGAGAAGCAAGATTCTGCGACTCAAAAGGACGGCCAGAAATGGCACGAGTGCATTCCGTGCGTGGCGTGGCGAGCAATGCCAATGAGCACACCAAGCCAACAGATAGCCGTCGAATCTTCAGCAGCGCCCCTCGCTGATGAGGAGGAGGAAAGACCAAACAAGCTCTTTCGCGAGGGTGAGGTTTGATGGATTGCAGTACGATGTGAATAGTTTCTGCTCAGTTGAGACAGGTCACTACCGAGTCTCATTATGAAATCCCCAGGTATATATGCAGTGTACCCAGGCAGGTCGGGGTCGGTCGGACTCGGGAATCGGGATGGATCTGGTGGGGCAGTACGCGATACACGTAATTCCCGAACTGCGGTTTAGCATCTTAATGCTTCATGTCTTATGCGTGCCTACAACTTCTAATTGGTTCTGGCTCTGGTATTTGTCTCGTTCCAATTCTTGTTTTGGCAGCACACCTTGATCTGTAGGAGATTCCTGTTTGCTGCAAAAACAAGCTATTAAAGCTTCCTGCGTGGGGTTAAATTGCAGAGTCCCATTAAAGTGGCCGGAAACCAAACCCATTCTGTGTAGTGGCACCAACATTTGATGCACTGACATTATTCAACACAAGATTGGTGGGTATACGAATTTGACAATCCAAACAACAAGTTTGTATACACAAGGGTAATAGTAAATAAGCGGATTATGTTAATAATAAGTGGTCGCTATGACCATAACTATACTTTTAGTGATGGCACTCAAGCACCAGTCACTACTTGCTCTCCCTGCCTGGCAGGTGGTGTTGCTGCTGCTGAAGCTGCTGCTGAGGCACGGATCCGTGCGATCAGCCTTCTAGCGGCTGGGGAGGGGACCATGCCAGCGCAGGCATGTTGGTGGGATGCGGAACAGGAGGAAGGTGAAATATGGGACAAGGAGGTGAGGGAGGAGTGAGAGCAGCTTCGAGGCGGAGGAGGGTGGGGCTTCAGATGGTGAGACATATTGGTGGAGATTGAACGTGAAAGACAGGAAGGTGGGGAAGAGGGGGAAGAGGGGGAAGAGGGGGAAGCAGGGAAAGAGGGGGAAGAGGGGAAAGCAGGGGAAGAGGAGGAAGAGGGGGAAGAGGGGTACGAGGGGGAAGAGGGGGAAGAAGGGGAAGACGGGGAAGAGGGGGAGGATGGGGAAGAGGGGGAAGAGGGAGAAGAGGGAGAGGAGGGGTAGGAGGGCAGCTGCAATGGGGAGGTGGGGGAGCGTGTGGAGGCTGGATGGTGAGTCTTGAAAGCAGCAGATTGGTTGGAGTGAGAGTCATGCGATGTGGTTTGCTGCTGCTGCTGCTCGCTCTTGCTACAGGGAGTATCATCGCTGCACCATTGGCCATGATTGATAGCATTCGAGTATCTCCTGTCAGTGTCACTGCAGCATATGCCAGCATCAGCATGCAGGTCGATCACCCGCCTCACCTGCACAACGCTACTGAACGACACGCGCCGAACAAGCTTCCGGCTCCCAGCATAATCCAGGCTCTCCGCTGCTTGTTTCGAGCTGATGCACGAGCATTTCACACTCAGGCTCGGCTGATCCGGACCTTTAGATCCGAACGAGCTCAGCTGGTGTGTGCTGGAATGCAAGCTCCGTCTAGCTTTGGTTTCAGGGCTGCTGACGGGGCTTGTGGTGGGCCTGTTAGTAAGTAAGCTCCTTGTAATACTAGGCCTGTTCACTAGATTCGAGCGCACGGGCTCGCGCTGAGCAGGTGCGGTGTTTCTACGGACGAGCTCACTGCGCTTGGGAACCACAGTGACTAATTGCGAATGCTGATTGTGGGAAGAGTGGGCGGATGAGGAGTCAGAGGAGTGAATTTGGTTGGAGGAGGAAGGGGATTCTTTTGCCAAAGAGGAAACAGAGGAGGGGAACGAGGCGGTGGAAGGAGGAGAGGAGTGGGTGGAGGGAGCGGGAGGGTGAGGGGATTCAAGAGGCGCCGCCGCGGGCTTCCAGGCAGGCAGGGAAGTGCTGCGAGGGAAGGCGCGGGAGACAGACGATGAATGGGCGGGGCGAGGGGGGACGGGGCACCCGCTGGCCCTGGGCGGCGGCATGATGCGCAGGTGATGATGATGATGATGGTGATGATGATGATGATGGCGCAGCGTGCGCTGCTGATCATCATGATGCTGCTCCTTTCTGTCATGCTGCGCCTCCCACGCCGCTAGTAGGCTTGTCGATGCGCCTGGCCGTCCTGCGCCCACCAGAGATTTTCCCGCCGCTGCTGCTGCCGCTGCCGCTGCTGCTGCCGCTGCTGCTGCTGTTGCTGCTGCTGCTGCTGCGGCTGCTGCTGTTGGGATATGATGCGGTGGCGTTTCCGTTGCCTGAGCCACCTCAAAAGGCGCGGGCGAGATGGCACTGTGATCATAATGATCGTGTAGGCAGCCCATCATGAATCGCGGCGGGGGCCGCGCAGCGCCGGAAAGGCCGCCATGGCTGCTGTAGTAGCAACAACTGCTCAGTGTCTTTGCCGGTTGTATGATCGTGTGGGCCTTCATCTTGTCAGCAGCACGCTGCTGCTGCTGCTGCTGCTGCTGCTGCTGCTCGGCCGCGCTGAGAGCGACTGCTGCTGCTTTCATTACAAGCCGATGACGGGACGCCGCCATTTAGTAGTTGTATTGGTAGTAGTAGTAGTTAGTACGAGCACGGAAGTGGGTGACTCAAGGCTTCACCAAGGAGGAGGAACCACTGCTGGAGAGAACTTCTCGTTGCACGCGTCGAATGCGTTGAACGCGCCGCGAAGCTTGCAGTTCTGTTGGATTCTGAATTGCCGGAGGAAGGCTGTGTTGCCGAGACTGTCGCGGGGAAGGCTCTCTCAGATTGAAAGAGATCATTTCTCTCGCACGGAAAATAACAACAGACTTTCTGAAACTCTGGCGCTGCTTTCAACCGATGCTCCGTTCTCGTCTCAGGCAAACCGAACTCTAGGCCGAACCGAGCAGAAGCGGCAAGCGGCAAGGGCCCCTTGCTTCTCTCCCCAGTTCTAGGCCCGGCCGACTCGGAATGCGGCTTGGGGTGGGTGGGACTGGTGTACCAAACGAACCGAACCGAATTTGCCTGGGTGTCGTCTCGTCTCGTCCCTCCTCCTGAGGATTATGATGGAGGGAAGGTGGTTTGTGCCCGCTTTACTACAGATGATGTAGCGACTGCCATTGCCAATGGCGGTGGTTCTGTCCCGAGCGAACACTCTGTAAAGTGCGCGCTGCCAGGTTTCCTACACGTGGCATGGAATGATGCAACCCCTTTGGGAAACGATGATGATTTCGCGAATCGCGGCATTTGGAGGAACCAGAGGGGCTGACTTACCACTTCGGTGGTCGTATTTGTCGTGGCTCGAGCATCGCGACGCGGGTTGTGAGCGGTGAGCCGTGAATGGCGCGGCCGGTTGAAAGTCGGCGAAATCTAACGAAGCAGTTTGCAACGACTGTCCCCCCCAACATCGCGGCTGCGCTGGCAGGATGAGATTATCCAAGACCAATAGCTTCGTCTTACCCCACGCTATGTAGCCACCAATACTGTACCAAACTGTTCCGGCCGAGACGCTACACTGTACTACACGAGCTGTATACAGTACAGCTTCTGCTGGCACAGTACTGCCTGGACTGTCACAGTATTACCTGGACTGTCATGACCTGGCCATTTCTGCTTCCCTTTCAACCAACCCGTGGAGCCGCGCTTCGATTAGGTGGTTCTAGCTAGTTGGATAGCTGGGTGGGAAAGCAACACGAAACCGCGGCTGCACCGCGGTCAGATTTGGCTGCACCGCGGTCAGATTTGGCACGAGACTGCAACTCCAGAACACGACGCCAGCACATATTTGAGTCCTCACCACCACCTTTGCTGAGTAGGCAAAGGAGCAAAACGAAATGAACCTGGCTGCTGTTACGGTACAATACCAGGATAAGGGTTGGGCATGGATGGATGGACGAAGTGCAGCAAGAGGAGGTGCAGCTGCACCTGGACTGGATTCTATTCTCACACCCAATAGTACACGTGGATTGCCCTCGATTTCAAGCCAATACGAGCCATCCGTTTCATAAACTTCCAGTGTAGCATGGGCATCATTCGAATTCCCTATCCTCTGGGCGTTTAGCTAAGAGCAGAATTTGTGTGAGGTGTCTTCAGAAAGCGCTTGGCGGCGTACTATTACTCGTATTCAGGTGTATCCCCAATTACCGAAACATTTCGCAATCTCCACCCGTTTGCAGAGAACCGTTACAGCCAAAATCTGCGTACATAAGCATTCAATTACTTGTAGCTTGAAAACAAGTGGCTTTACCTGTCAATAAGACCTAGAGTTTCAGATGTATAAATCCGCATTGTACTATTGATCACTGTCTTAATAATAGGATTTTCAACTATAAGAATTAGTGCGTCCATCCTGGTAAATATTGTTGTAATCACAAACCCAGCTAGCAACACCAATAAGCAGTTCCTTCAACTCGAAACACATTTAACTGCGCCTTTGTCACCTCCGTGGGCAGCTGCCCATTGGCGGCAATGGCTCGAGCTCTTCACAAGGTTTGGCAAGACAAACCCCTCGTCTTGCCTCAAGTCAGCATTCACAGACAGTGACAGCTCATCACCATCATTGTGGGCCACAAGAGTACCCGGCGAAAGGCTCTCCTCATACATGTCTTCACCACCAGCAATAGCGTCCCCCAACTGGCCCTTATCCCCCAAAGCCCTCTCCTCTCTCCTCTCTCCTCTCTCTCCTCTCCCTCCTCTCTCTCCTCTCCCTCCTCTCTCTCCTCTCCCTCCTCTCTCTCCTCACTCTCTCCTCTCTCACTCTCCTCACTCTTCTCAATCCCCTCCACTCTCTCCTCCTCGTCCCTCTCCTTCTCCCCCACTTCAATCCCACAATCCGCCACATCACCATCCTGATCACCCCCTCCCTCTCTCCCAATACCCCTTCCAGCCTCCTCTCCCTCCTCTCCCTCCTCCCTATCCTCCCCCTCCTCATCCCAGTTCCGATCCGCCTCTGCACCTTCAACACTCCTCTCCTCCTCACCTCCCTCTCTCCTCACAGCAGCAAACTTATCTTCAAAAGCTTCCTCTCGAAACACACGCCCGCTGCGGGCCTTCTGTCTCAGCCTAGCAGGGTCAAAGCCCTGACACCGCTCTGACATGCCTACAGATTCCCCACCAGATCCCATCAGATTCCCTCCGTCTGTTCCCATGGGTGCTGCTCCTCTTGATCCCATCAGCCTACGCCTGTTCGCCTGCCCCACCACAGCCTTGATCTGCTCTGCGAATGCAGCCTGCACGGAGGGGCAAGAGGAGGGGAGAGAACGGGTCACCATGGAGATACGTGTGCGACAGTGAGGCGAGAGAGTAAGGCGAGAGAGTAAGGCGAGAGAGTAAGGCGAGAGTGTAAGGCGAGAGTGTAAGGGGAGAGAGTAAGGCGAGAGAGTGAGGCGAGAGAGTGAGGCGAGGAGAGTGAGGCGAGAGTGTACAAAGAGAGTAAACGGAGCAAGGAGAGGAGAGAGAGGATGTGGGGAAGGCAAAGCTAGGTAGGGGATACGTGCAGAGAAGACAGAAAATATGGAGCCTTCTGCAAAAATCTCACTGCCCACATGCTGCTGCTGCTGCTGCTTGTGTGTGCATGCCCTGACCTGCCTACTATGATACAACCACCCCCCTCCCCTCAACCAATCCCACTCCCAATCTACAGACCATCTCAGCCTGTGAATCCGCATAAACGACCAGGACATCAGCAGCTGGTAGCTCTGGTAGCAAGAAAACGCCATGAATCGGCCCTTCAATCCCATGCCCCTCCTCCTCAAACCACCCCCACTGTCCTCCTCTACACAACAGACTCTTTCGTTCCCAGATCCTCCGTACCGTACCATACCAGCCCCCACCCAGGCAATCCCACGCTCATGCCCCTCGAACCCCTCACCCATCTCTCCCCACACTTCCACCGTCGCTTCACCTGGTGCAGCTGGTACAGCTGGCGAGCATAGTCCAAGAGCTCCACATCCAGGTAGTTTAGCTCTCGAATGCGCGCCAACGTGCTGCTCTTGATGCTCATGCGCTCCTGGGTGCACAGAAGGGAAGAGGGGAGATAGTTAAGAGACGTGTCAGAACCCATCCAGGTAGTTAAGCTTTCGAATGCGCGCCAATGTGCTGCTCTTGATGCTCATGCGCTCCTGTGCAGACAGCGGGCGGGGGGGGGGGGTAAGAGGGGGGAAAGAGGGGAGCGGAGGCTGGCGGAGGGGGGAAAGGGGAGGTGGGAGGCACGGAGAGAGCAGGGTGAGTGAAGGTGCGTGGGGGGGGGTGTTTGGATGGGGGGTTGGAACAGAAGGGAGGACAGGTGAAGCGCCAGTGCTGCCCAAATGGGGTTAGTTAGAGGACAGATCAAAGGAAAGAGAGAAGTGGCGAGGTGACGAGGAGACATTTGAGCCAGACCAAAGAGCGTGAGTTTTTTGAGAATTCTCCAAAAACAGGTGACATTTGAGCCAGACCAAAGAGGAGAGGAAGAGGGGGGGGGGGAGGGGAACGGAGAACGGAGGGAAGGCAGGAAGGTGGAGTGTGGGGAAGGCAGGAAGGTGGAGTGTGGGGAAGGCAGGAAGGTGGAGTGTGGGGAAGGGGAGGTGAGTGAGCGAATGAGGGTAGTGGGGAGGGTAGTGAGGTGGAGGTGAATAGCAGGGAAATGGGCATGACGAGGTGACAATCGAGTCGACTCAAGCGTTTTTCGAATTCAAGAGAGCCAGTCACCTCTCGCAGTGACGTGTGGAGGGAACGGAATGTGTGTCGCACCTCATGGGAGAAGTGATATGAGACGTCTCAAATCAATTCAAGAGAACCAGTCACCTCTCGAAGTGACGTGTGGAGGGAACGGAATGGCGTACCTCATGGGAGAAGTTGACTGGTCCGAGCAGGGCAATGGCCATGGACCGCCGGACCTTGTACTTGTCCTGCTGCATCTTCACACAGCGCTTGTAGTTCTGCCACAGGGAGAGCGCGAACTGCACGGGGGGAAGGAAATGAGGGGAGGAGGGGAAAGGAGGGAAAGGTCCAATTTTGAGCCAACTGAAAAAGGTCTGAACTTGTCCTGCTGCATCTTCACACAGGTAGTTCTGCCACAGGGACAGCGCGAACTGCAGGTGATGTAGGGGGGAGGAGATGCGGGAGGATTGGAGGGGAGGGGATGGGAGGGGACGGGAGGGAAAAGAGGGAAGGAGAGGAGAGGAGAGGAGAGGAGAAGAGAGGAGAGGAGAGGAGAGGAGAGGAGGGGATATCAAATTATATTTATATGTGCTTGTTTAGGATGTCTAGGCTGTATGGGGTTTAGCACTAGGGGGTACACAAACTTTCTCGACATTCTCTTCCTTGTACCCCAAACCCTTACCTAATCCATTCATTCTTGCCTTAGATTCTAACATAGTATAGAGCAGGAGGTCCTTAGGACCTTAGTACCTGTTCTGTTTGGGCCCACCTTAAAATCACCTGCGGTTACCGCGTTACCCCGCGCCCGCCCTACCCTACTACGCGTCGCGCTGCCCCTGCTGGCCGCGCGCCACTGCTGCAGCTCGCATTTTTTTATTTATTTATTTATTTTTTTTCGCGCGCTTTCCTGCCCGCTCTGCCCCGCGCGCGCTACGCTCGTCGCGTCGCCCCGCGGCCCTCGCGCGGCCCAAGCGCGGCCCTTCCGTGGCCCTTCGCGGCCCTCGCGCGGCCCTTTCGTGGCCCTCGCGCGGCCCTTTCGCGGCCGTCCGCGGCTCACCGCTGCCCCTTCGCGGCCCCTCCGCGGCTCTGCCGCCCTGCCGCCTCGGCGCCCCTTCATCGCCGCCTCCGCAGCAGCGGCCGTCGCGCCTGCTGCCGCTGCTGCTTCCGCCACGATCGGCCGCCGCCACAGCTGCTGCCGTGACGACCGCCGCCACTGCTGCTGTGACGCCGCCGCCGCCACTGCTGTGACGGCCTCCTGCGGCCCCTGGAACAGCCGCTCCTGCAGCAGCAGCCCCTGAAGCAGCCGCCCCTGGAGCAGCCGCCCCTCTGCAGCAGCCGCCCCTGGAGGAGCCGCCCCTCTGCAGCAGCCGCCCCTGGAGCAGCCGCCCCTGGAGCAGCCGCCCCTCTGCAGCAGCCGCCCCTGGAGCAGCCGTTAGCCTCTGGAGCAGCCGCCCCTGGAGCAGCCGCCCCTGTAGCAACCACCCCTCTGCAGCAGCCGCCCCTGGAGGAGCCGCCCTTGGAGCAGCCGCCCCTCTGCAGCTGCCGCCGTTTAGTAGCAGCCCCCGCCGCCGTCCCGGCCCTCATCTGCCGCCCTGGTGCGGCCCTGACCCAGCTCGGGCACCTCGACCTTGCCCCACCGCTTGCGGGCTTCTCCACCCCGCCCCTGGTAAGTGCATTGCCGAGCCGTGCCTCTACTGCTACTGCTACTGCTCCTGCTCGCTTTCTTCTACTGCCGCTACTAGCCTGCTCCGCCTGCTGCCATGGCTAGTCCTGCTGTGCTTACCTTCGATGCTGAGGGTCGGGCGATAGACTTTGAGGTCTGGCTTGACGACTTGCAGCTTTTCCTGCAGTGTGATAGCAAAGACGATGTCTCGCTGCATGACCTCACGTCTGGTGCTTCCCCCCAACCTGCTGCTGATGCTGATGCTACTGTGCGCTCTCGCTGGAACACCCGCGATGCTGCTGCCCGCCTTGCTGTGCGTAGTCACCTGCCGTCTGCTGAGCGTGCGCACTTCACTCAGTTTAAGACCGCTAAGACCCTGTTCGATGCTGTCGTTGCGCGCTACTCCTCCCCTGCCTCTGCTGCCCTTAGCCGCCTCATGCTCCCCTACCTTTTCCCTGACCTCGCCGCTTTTGATACCGTAGCTGACCTCATTGCACACCTCCGCTCTAGCGACACTCGCTACCGTGCTGCGCTTCCTGCTGAGTTCTGCGCCACGAACCCTCCCCCCATGTATATCACCCTCTACTACCTAGTCACCCGCCTCCCTGACTCCCTTCGCTCAGTCAGGGACCACTTCCTAGCCCTCTGCCCCACCACTCTCACCGTTGACCTCCTCGAGAAGGAGCTCCTTGCAGCTGAGAAGAGCATAGTCGCTGTGGAAGCCTCTCGAGGTGACCCCCGTACCCCTTTCTTTGAGGGGTGCTCCCCTGTCCCCCTTCTGCCCTCTGTTGCCTCTGCTGCTGCTGTCGACCTCCTTGGCACTGAGTCGGTCGGCGCTGCGTCTGCCCCTGGCGGGAGGCGCCGCAACAGCAAGGGCAAGGGAGGCAAGGGTGCTGGAGGAGCTGGCGGGGGTGGTGGTGGTGGCGGTGGCGGTGGAGGCGGCCGGGGGGGTGGGGGTGGAGGTGGGAGTGGGGGCGGAGGTGGGGGCTCTGGTGGCGGCGGTGGAGGCGGAGGCAGCGGCGGCGGCGGCGGTGGGAGTGGAGGAGGCAGCGGCAGCGGCAGCGGCGGCGGTGGGAGTGGCGGTGGCGGCGGTGGCAGCGGAGGAGGCAGTGGCGGTGGTGGCGGTGGCGGTGGCGCTGGTCGTGGTGGCTCTGTGCAGGGGGGAGGCTCTGGTGGTGGACAGCGTCAGCAGCAGCAGCGCTCTCGTGAGGCCCCGCCGCCGCAGCAGCTTCACCAGTGGTACACTGGGCGTCAGCGGCCTGGGGGTGCTGGTCCCTGTACCTACGTTTTGCGTACAAGTGACTGCACAGGTGAGCCGTGTGGCGGCCCACACACCACCCAGCGCTGCTTCGGCCGCCTGACAGACGCCTGGCGTATCCGTTTCCTTGACGCCACTGAGCTACCGCACTGGCATGAGCTACTTAGGTCGGGGGTTCCTATCTTTGATCTTGACTATGATGCTATCCTTGCTGCCATGTATGTTATGTCTACTAGTGATGACGGTGACTGTTACCTGAGTGTTCCGCCCGACCCGGGCGGTGCAGCTGCTGCTCTAGGTGCCAGTGAGTCTGCTGCTCCAGGTGCTAGCGAGTCTGCTGCTCCAGGTGCTAGTGAGTCTGCTGCTCTAGGTGCTGGTGAGTCTGCTCTCTCAGGTACCACGTCTGCTCAGGCGTCGCACACTTTCACCCTTGACTCGGGTGCTTCCCGCTCCTTCTTTCGAGACCGCACCACTCTTACGCCGCTCAGTCGGCCGGTTGCGGTCTCCCTGGCAGACCCCTCTGGGGGTCCTGTCCTTGCTCACTACTCCACTGTTCTGCCGTGTCCAGCGGTCCCGTCTGGCTCCCTGTCCGGTCTTTACCTCCCCTCGTTCTCTACGAACTTGGTGGCGGGTGCTGACCTACAGGATGGGGGAGTTGACCAGTTCACTCCTGCGCGTCAGCGGGTGACCCACTGCACGTGTGCTGACACGGGCCGACACTTGGCCACGTTTACTCGTCGGCCGGGGTCGAGCCTGTACACACTGACTACCGAGTCTCCGCCGAAACTGTTCCTGGTCAGGTAGCTGCGTCGGGTCAGGTGTTTGCTGCAGCGTCTCGGTCTGGTCCTGAGTCTGCCCCCTGCTCGTGTCGCCTCCTGTCCCACGAGACTCTTCTCTGGCACCACCGTCTTGGTCACCCCTCCCTGCCTCGTCTCCGAGGCATGGCCTCTCGTGTCCTTGTCTCTGGTCTCCCCCGGTCCCTCCCTCCCCTCCCTCCGGGGCCTGCCCCTACCTGCGTTCCCTGCGTCGAGGGGCGGCAGCGCGCCGCTCCTCACTTCTCCGAGTTTCCGCCGACAGAGGCTCCGCTGCAGACTCTTCACATGGACGTGTGGGGCCCAGCCCGCGTCCGTGGACAGGGTCACGAGCGCTACTTCCTGCTGGTAGTTGACGACTACTCGCGTTACACCACAGTCTTCCCCTTGCGCCGCAAGGATGAGGTCACTGAGGTGTTGATCGACTGGATCCGCGCTGCTCGTCTCCAGCTCAGGAAGAGTTTCGGCTCGGACTTTCCTGTTCTGCGTCTGCACTCTGACAGGGGTGGAGAGTTTTCCTCCGGCCCTCTGCGAGCCTTCTGTCGTGCGAGGGGCATCCGCCAGACGTTCACGCTTCCGGCCTCTCCGCAGCAAAATGGGATTGCTGAGCGCCGCATTGGCATGGTCATGGATGTCGCTCGTACGTCCATGATCCATGCGGCTGCTCCCCATTTTCTGTGGCCGTTTGCGGTTCAGTACGCGGCGCGTCAGCCCAGTGTCTTGCCGGAGACCTCCCCCACTCTGAGGTGGACGGGGAAGGTTGGCGATGCGTCTGCGTTCCGTGTCTGGGGATCTCGGGCTTTTGTCCGAGACTTGTCTGCGGACAAGCTGTCCTCCCGTGCTGTTCCCTGCGTCTTCCTTGGCTTCCCCCTTGACGCGCCTGGTTGGCAGTTTTACCACCCCACCTCGCGCCGTGTTCTGTCCTCTCAGGACGTCACGTTTGACGAGTCGGTTCCGTACTACCGTCTCTTCCCCTACCGCGCTGCCCCCCTTCCCCCCCCGCCACTCTTCCTTACGCCAGGTCCCCCCCGATAGACCCCTTCCCCCCTCAGGGTCCTGCTCCTTCAGGTGTGTCTCAAGTAGACCCCCCCCCTTGGCTGGGCCTTTGGAGGTCACTTCCGACACCTCTGGCCCACCTGAGGGGGGTGACGCTGCTACTGAGGCCCCGGCGGCCTACCGCCGCGCACCACGCTTGGAGACCCCTCCGGGGTTCCCTCCGCGACCTTCTTCGCCGCGTCGGCAGCCGGTTACTGTTGGCTCTGGTGCTGTTGGGGGTGGTGCTCCTGGAGGTGCTGCGTCTGGGGGTGCGGAGTCTGGGGGTGCTGAGCCTGCGCGTGAGGAGACTGGAGGTCCTGCGCCTGGGGGTGGTATGACTGGGGGTACTGAGCCTGTGTGTGCGGAGTCTGGGGGTGCTGAGTCTGGAGGTGAGACGCTTGAGGGTACTGGGACTGCTGGTGCGCGGCCTACTTGGAGTGGCCGCCTTCGTCCACGTGTGCCTCTCACCACTCAGCAGCTGCACGACTGGTACGGTCGCCGTCTGCGTCGCGCTTCTGGAGCCCGAGGCTCTGCTGCTGGAGGTACTGGAGCTACTGGGGCTGGGGGTGCTGCGCCTGGAGGTGCTGCTGCTGGAGACACTGAGGCTGGCGACCATGGGGCTGGAGGTGCTGGTTTTGGGGGTGCTGCTGCTGGAGACACTGAGGCTGGGGACCCTGGGACTGGAGGTGCCGGTTTTGGGGGTGCTGCTGCTGGAGACACTGAGGCTGGGGACCCTGGGACTGGAGGTGCCGGTTCTGGGGGTGCTGCTGCTGGAGACATTGAGGCTGGAGACCCTGGGACTGGAGGTGCCGGTTCTGGGGGTGCTGCTGCGGGTGACGCTGGTTCTGGTGGTGTTACCGAGGTACCAGTTCTGCGACTGGAGCTGTTGGAGCTGCTGGAGGCACTGGAGCTACTGGAGGTGCTGGAGCTGCTGGTGCTAGTGCAGCGGCGCCGACCCGACTGGTCTTCGCTCCACCGTCTCCGTCGTCTCTACCGCCGTCTGCCTCTGTTCTTCGTCAGGTTGTTACTCTCCCGTCGTCTACTGGTCTTCCCTTACAGCCTGGCTCACCGCTGCCTGCTCCCTCTCCTTACACTGAGCAGACAGGTAGTCTTGCTGAGCGTCGTGAGCCTGCGTCGCGTCCTGTCTCGCCTGTTCGTTCTGGTCGTACTGGTCGTCGTGTTTCTCGTTCACGTCAGCCGACTGTCCCCAGTGCACACCTTGTTGTCCGTCGTCCTTCCTCTGCTCCGCAGTCTGTTCCTCTGCCGTCTCCCCCTGCGTCCTCTCTGCCTGACGTTCCGGACCCTGCGTCTGACCGGTTTCGTGCTGAGCACCCTACTGTCACGCGTCTGCTAGCCACAGTTGTCACTGACCCGTCGTTTGAGTCTGCTGCTGCATCTGCCTTGGTCGCTGAGCTTGTTGACTTTGCTGCTGCTTGTCGTCTAGACTTCGCTGCCAGTCTTGTTGCTGAGTCTGAGTCTGTCTGTCCTCTGTCCGTCGGGGGTGAGTGTGCTCTTGGCACGGACGTCCTTGAGGACAGGCACGAGGACCTTGAGTGTCTTGCAGCCGCTGCACCTCATCTCGTGGCCATGCTGCTTGCCCCTGAGGGAGACCCGGATGCACCAGACATCCCGACCCCGCGCTCTTACGCTGAGGCGATCGCGGGTGAGTACTCCTCTCAGTGGCAGACAGCCATGGACGCAGAGATGGCATCCTGGAAGTCCACTGGCACTTACGTCGACGAGGTTCCCCCTCCTGGGGCGAACATCGTCAGTGGCATGTGGATTTTCAGGGTGAAGCGGCCGCCAGGTTCTCCGCCTGTCTTCAAGGCTCGGTACGTTGCTCGAGGCTTCAGTCAGCGAGAGGGAATAGACTTCTTCCAGACCTTCTCCCCCACCCCGAAGATGACCACTCTTCGGGTGCTGCTGCACGTTGCCGCTCACCGTGACTACGAGCTTCACTCTCTTGACTTTCTTGCAGGGCAGCCTGCACGAGGAGATCTGGCTGCGCCGCCCCCCGGGCTTCACTGGGTCGTTCCCTCCTGGTACCCAGTGGAGCCTTCGGCGGCCAGTCTACGGTCTCCGCCAGGCGCCACGTGAGTGGCACGACACACTGAGGACTACGCTTGCGGCTCTTGGGTTCGCGCCTTCTACTGCTGACCCGTCACTGTTTCTGCGCACCGACACTTCGCTGCCGCCGTTCTACATCCTCGTGTATGTCGACGACTTGGTCTTTGCCACTGCTGACACTGAGGCACTCGCCTTTGTGAAGTCGGAGCTGCAGAAGAGACACACGTGCACAGACTTGGGTGAGCTGCGCAGCTACCTTGGCTTGCAGATCACCCGGGACAGAGCACGCCGCACCATCACCCTGACTCAGTCACACATGGTGCAGCAGGTCCTTCAGCACTTACAGGCGACTCCTCTGGCGACAGGTCACTCGCTCTCAGCTCCACCTTCGGACGAGTCCGTAGAGCCGAGTGGTCCTTACCCAGAGCTAGTCGGCTGCCTCATGTACCTGATGACTTGCACTCGACCTGACCTCGCGTACCCTCTTAGTCTTCTGGCTCGCTACGTAGCTCCTGGTCGGCACCGACCTGAGCACATGGCTGCTGCTAAGAGGGTACTGCGCTACTTGTGCAGCACATCAGGCATGGGGCTAGTGCTTGGAGGACGGAGTGAGGTGGTCCTCACTGGGCACTCAGACGCGTCTTGGGTTGACGACCAGACTACACAGCGGTCGTCACAGGGTTACACCTTCAGCCTTGGCTCTGGCTCTGTTTCTTGGCGGTCTACACACTCGTCTTCTGTTCTCAGTTCCAGTTGTGAGGCTGAGATCTACGCCACCGCCATGGCTGCACAGGAGCTACGCTGGCTCACCTACCTGCTGACTGACCTTGGAGAGCGGCCTCGTTCTCCTCCAGTTCTGTACGTTGACAACAAGGCGGCCATTGCCTTGTGTGAGGAGCATAGACTGGAGCACAGAACGAAGCACATTGCTCTCCGTTACTTCCTGGCTCGAGAGTTGCAGCAGCGTGGTCAGCTTCGTCTTCGTCACGTGGCCACTCGGGCCAACACTGCTGATATATTCATCAAGGCACTTCCGTCTGGTGATCATCAGCGCTTTTGTACTCTGTTAGGCCTTGTGCCGACACTTCCACACTTGCTGTAGTCTTTGCTTGTACTGTGATCTATATGTATATATACCTGCACGTTGGCACTTGCTAGCTAGAGATCACTGTACTGTTCTTGTTGCTTATATACTCCTGCATGTGGACTGGCCTTGTGGCCGTTTGCTTGTGCTCAGTGGGAGTGGTGACGTTGTGATCCACCCTGAGCTGTGTTTTGTCTCTTGACTGGTCTTGTGACCGTTGCTTGCTCTGGCTATCCCCCATTTCGCCTATGGGGGTGTGTCAAATTATATTTATATGTGCTTGTTTAGGATGTCTAGGCTGTATGGGGTTTAGCACTAGGGGGTACACAAACTTTCTCGACATTCTCTTCCTTGTACCCCAAACCTTTACCTAATCCATTCATTCTTGCCTAAGATTCTAACAGGGGAGGGGAGAAAAGAGGAGAAGATAGGAGAAGAGAGGAGGAGAAGGAAGGAACAAACGGGGTGAAAGGACTTTCAATCAATCAATACATGGACCACTTGGTGAGAGGTGGAGAACGGGGATTCAGGGGTGACGGTGGATTGCACTTTATGTGAGAGCCGTGTGAATCAAGTACATTGCGCCTATCTGCCTGCATGCCTACCAACCTGCGTGCCCCCCCGAGTTTCCGCCTGCATGCCTGCCTGCATGCCTGCCTGCCTGCCTGCCTGCCTGCGTACCTGCGTACCTGCCTGCATGATCGCCTGCCTGCATGATCGCCTGCCTGCATGCCTGCTTGCACGCCTACTACCCTGTCCCCAACCCTCAAACCTCACTCTCACCCCTCCACAGGAACGCAGCCGGGACTGCTTCTGTGCGGTGTGAACAGCAGAGTGCATGGAGCAAGTTTTGAGTGGACTCAACTTGACAAAAAAAAAAATGCTAAAAAAAAACCACTCTCACCCCTCCACAGTAACGCACCCGGGACTGCTTCTGAGCGGTGTGAGCAGCAGAGTGCATGGAGCGACCGATGGTGGCGGCAAAGAGCACAGCCGACTGCTCATGCACCTCTGACAGCCCCACGTGCAGCATCGCTGCTAGGCGCGCCTGATCATGCATGGATAGGGGGAGAGGACAGGGCGAGGGAGGGAGAGGAACATGGGAAGCGGAAGTGTTTGAGAGGGGCTTATGAAAGCAACGCATGCACCTCTGACAGCCCCACGTGCAGCATCGCTGCTAGGCGCGCCCGATCATGCGCGGACAGGGTGAGAGAGAGGACAGGGCGAGGGAGGGGAACATGAGAAGCGCAAGTATTTGAAGGGTCTATGAAAGCAGCCCATAACCTTCGACAGCTTGGCTGCTAGCCGCGCCCACTCATAAAGGGAAAAATATGGGAATGGGAGGACAAGATGGGAGGACAGGATGAGTGGACAGGGCGAGAGGCAGGGAGGAGGCAGTGGAACATGGGGGGGAGATTTCTGAGGGATTTATTAAAAGCAGCCCGTGCAGTGCAGCTCTGATAGCCCCATGTGCAGCATGGGCATCGGCATGGCCGCATGGGCATGACTGCGAGCCAGACTGTGCAAGCGCTATCCTCGAACTGCTTCTGAGAAATCCCAAGGTGGGCAGCGGGGGTTGGGAGAAGGGTGAGAAGGCGAGCGAGAGGAGGGGCAGAAAAGAGTTAAGCGAGGGGGAAAGAGATAAGATGGATTGGATAAGAGTTAAGCTTTCCCCTGTCTTGGAACAAGTGTTTGCAGCGCCGAAGTATGCCAGATTTTCCCCTATTGTCGTGGCCTTTTCCGCCACCTTTGCCCCATCAATTCCACCCACCCCCTGCCCTCCCCACCCTGGCAAGTTCCAGAATGCGATCGTCCGAGACTCTGGACGTGTGTGTGCAGCGCCGCAGCAGCACACAAGCGCTTCCCCCTCTTTCCCTGGCCTTTGCCCCACCTTTGCCCCACCGTTGCCCCACTGTTCCCTCAAACCCTCCCCTGCCCACCTTGGCGAGGTCCAGAATGTGCTCGCGTGTGTACTGCACACCACGTAAGCATGCGCGAGTTAGCCCATCTTTGCCTGGCCTTTTTCCCGCCTTTGCCCCACCCTTTTGCCCCAATCCCCCCTCCTGCCCACCTTGGCAAGGTCCAGAATGCGCTCGCCCGACTCCCGGCAGGCATGTGCGCAGAGCCTAAGCATGCGCGCGTTTGCCCATCTTTCCCACTTTTGCCCCACCGTTTCCCTCAATCAACCCCTCCCTCCCCTCCCCACCTTGGCAAGGTCCAGAATGCGCTCGCCCGACTCCCTGTACGCGTGTGCGCACCGCCGCAGCATGCGAGCGTTTGGCAGCAGCGAGTTCTGCGTTATGCCCGCCACCTGCCCATGGCGCCACACGGTGGGCCGACAACAGGAGCAGGGAAAGCAGGAGGAGCAGGGGGATTTCTGAGTCAACTCAAAAACCAAAGCATGCGCGCGTTTGGCAGCAGCGAGTTCTGCGTTATGCCGGCCACCTGCCCATGGTGCCACACGGTGGGTCGACCACGGGAGCAGGGAGAGCAGGGGGGGCAGGGGGAGCAGCGGGAGAAAGGGAAGCAGGGGGAGAAGGGGAGTAGGTAGGGGGAGCACGGGGAGAAGGGGGAGCAGGGGGAAGAGGGAATGTGAGTGCACGGAGTGTCAGTAGAGTGAGGAGGAGAGAATGGATGATCAGCAGAAAACAAGATCCATAAACTCTCTACACCTAGCCACAATCGCAACGCAACCCTCAGCACCATCCTGCCAGCCAGCCTGCATCGTTCCCACCTCCATCCCCATTCCCAACATCCCAAAATCCCGCCCATTCACACACACCTAGCTCCTCTCTCAACTGCTCGCTATCTCTCCCTCCCATCCTATCTCTTCCCCACTCTTCCCCTCCTCCTTCCCCACCTCTCCCCCTCCCCTCACCTCCTCACCTGGAACGTGGCGCCACCGTGCAGCAGGTCTGACTGAGACGGCGGGGTGCTGCACGAACTACTCAAGAGGAATAACCAGGTGCTTCGACCCCCCTCCTCCCACCCTCCCCCTCCCCCCCCCCCTCACCTGGAACGTGGCGCCATTGTGCAGCAGGTCCGAGACAGCAGGGTGCTGCACGAACTCGTCCAGAGGCATCACCAGGTGGCTCTTCTCATACGAGTTCCACCCCTCGCTGCCAGGGGGGTCCGCGGGGATCTCCACTGTCGCCCGCTGATGAGGGGGAGGAGGGGCGGAGGAAGGAGAGGGGGCGAGGGAGAGGGCGGAGGTGGGGGAGGGCAGAGGGTGGAGTGGAGTGGAGATCAAGGGTTGGAAGATTGGAAAAGTGCTGCACGAACTCGTCCAGAGGCATCACCAGGTGGCTCTTCTCATACGAGTTCCACCCCTCGCTGCCAGGAGGATCCGCGGGGATCTCCACTGTCGCCCGCTGATGAGGGGAAGGGGGGCGGGGGGGCAAGGGGGAAAGTGGGGAGGGGGGAGGGGGAAGGGGGGAAGACTTTTGAGACGTCCCAAAAAGCGGGGTGCTGCATGAACTCGTCCAGCGGCATCACCAGGAGCCGCTTCTCATATGAGCGTGTTTTGAGACGTCTCAAAACATCACCAGGAGCCGCTTCTCATATGAGCGTGTTTTGAGACGTCTCAAAACATCACCAGGAGCCGCTTCTCATATGAGCGTGTTTTGAGACGTCTCAAAACATCACCAGGAGCCGCTTCTCATATGAGCGTGTTTTGAGACGTCTCAAAACATCACCAGGAGCCGCTTCTCATATGAGCGTGTTTTGAGACGTCTCAAAACATCACCAGGAGCCGCTTCTCATATGAGCGTGTTTTGAGACGTCTCAAAACATCACCAGGAGCCGCTTCTCATATGAGCGTGTTTTGAGACGTCTCAAAACATCACCAGGAGCCGCTTCTCATGTGAGCGTGTTTTGAGACGTCTCAAAACATCACCAGGAGCCGCTTCTCATATGAGCGTGTTTTGAGACGTCTCAAAACATCACCAGGAGCCGCTTCTCATATGAGCGTGTTTTGAGACGTCTCAAAACATCACCAGGAGCCGCTTCTCATATGAGCGTGTTTTGAGACGTCTCAAAACATCACCAGGAGCCGCTTCTCATATGAGCGTGTTTTGAGACGTCTCAAAACATCACCAGGAGCCGCTTCTCATATGAGCGTGTTTTGAGACGTCTCAAAACATCACCAGGAGCCGCTTCTCATATGAGCGTGTTTTGAGACGTCTCAAAACATCACCAGGAGCCGCTTCTCATATGAGCGTGTTTTGAGACGTCTCAAAACATCACCAGGAGCCGCTTCTCATATGAGCGTGTTTTGAGACGTCTCAAAACATCACCAGGAGCCGCTTCTCATATGAGCGTGTTTTGAGACGTCTCAAAACATCACCAGGAGCCGCTTCTCATATGAGCGTGTTTTGAGACGTCTCAAAACATCACCAGGAGCCGCTTCTCATATGAGCGTGTTTTGAGACGTCTCAAAACATCACCAGGAGCCGCTTCTCATATGAGCGTGTTTTGAGACGTCTCAAAACATCACCAGGAGCCGCTTCTCATATGAGCGTGTTTTGAGACGTCTCAAAACATCACCAGGAGCCGCTTCTCATATGAGCGTGTTTTGAGACGTCTCAAAACATCACCAGGAGCCGCTGTTCATATGAGTTCTTCCACCCCTCACTGCCGGGAGGGTCCGGGGGGGTCTCTACCGTGGCCTGTTGGTGAGGGGAAGGGGGAGGAGGAGGGGGAAGGGGGGGGGATGGAGAGGCGGAGGGGAGGGGCAGTGGGAAGGAGAGAGAGAAGGTATTCGCAATGGCAGTAGAGAGATGATGGAGAGGGGAAAGAGCAGACGGAGGGAACGAGGGTTGGGAGATCGGAGGAGTGGAGAGGGGACGGTGGATTGGGAGGGGAGAGGGTGGTTGACGACGGGTAAGGTAAAGGCGTCAGCGCAGAGGGATTTGTTTGGGAAGGGCAGAGCAGAGGAAACAACAGAGCAGGGCAGAAGGATTTGTTTGGAAAAAGCGAAGGTGGGGTTGAGAACAAAGGAACAAAGGAAACCAACAGGCGACAGAAGAAAAGGAGCTCGAGAGAGAAAGAATGCAAGACCGTTCAATCAAGTCATACGGTGGAGAAAACAAGGGGGTGGGAGAGGGGGGAAGGCAAGGGAAGAAAGAGTGCGGAAAATAGAGAAGCAGTTAAGGAGATATGAGCAGGGATGATAAACACTCCCCTACATTCACCCCTCTCCCTCCAACCACATGCTCAATCACCAGCAGCCAGAGGACATCCCCATGAGCAGAACGAGCATGCTCCATGGCTACAGCACGCCCCACCAGTCGGGGCGCCTCCCCGTCGCCTCCCCGTCGCCTGCCACACCTTCTGGTCTCCGCCTTGCGCAACCTGGTCACGCTCTGCCTCTGCCTCCTGCGGACCTTGAGCAGGTTCTGCCCGGGGTTGAGCCCCGGCACCCAGCGCCCATGCACATGGATCTTCACTGACCCGCACCAAACGCACTCAACCACGCACCCAACTCACCCACCCACCCACCCACCCACCCACCCACCCACCCACCCAGACACTCACCCGCAGCCAGAGATCATCCTCCATAAGCGGAATGAGCATGCTCCACGGCCACACCCGCCGCGTCTCCGCCTTGCGCGTCCTGGACACGCTCTGCCGCTGCCTCCTGCGGACCTTGAGCAGGTTCTGGCCAGGGTTGAGGCCCGGCACCCAGCGCAGGGAGCGCGAGGCGGTCTCGATGGTGAACTCGTAGGAGCTGAGGAGGCGGTCCACGGGGTCGCGGATGTTGGTGATGATGCTCGTGTTGTGCACCGGCAGGCGCGACATCAGCGAGTAGTCGTTGTGCGTCGAGAGGAGACGGCACTCGGGCTTGCTGCCGGGGGGAAGAAGGGGAAAAATAACGGAAAAAAAAATACTAACGAGATTTCTGGGGAGGGAAGAGTGGGAAAGAGTGAGGGGGGAGAAACAGGAGCACGGGAACGGAAGGGATTTGAGGCGAGGGGGGGTTGGGGGGCGGAGTGGGAGGAGGGGAGACGGGAAGAGGAGGGAACATGCTGGAGAAGCGAGGGTGTGAAACGTGCAGGGGAATCGGATGTGCCACTGATGATGCTGTTGTTCCTGCCCTGTTGCCATCAGTCATGTGGCTTGCTTCTATTCCTTTCACCAGAGATCAATATTGAGCACTGGCATGGCACCAGAAAACAGTAGCGTTTTGCATGCCGAATTGCACAGTGCACACATACATAACATGATACACATGCGCATGCCCATGGCTCGTGCACATAACACATGCACACGCGTTTGTGTGCGCACAGCGACTCACGCAGGGTCGAGTCGCAGGGTGTCGTAAGAGCGAGGGACTTTTGAGTCGACTCAAAAGTCACATGCTCATGCCCATGGCTCATGCACATAACACATGCACACGCGTGTGCGCACAACAACTCACGCAGGGTCGAGTCGCAGGGTGTCGTAAGAGCGAGGGCAGCGCAAGCTGAGCGGGTACAATGGCTTCAGGAAGCTGCCAGGAAGCATACCACAGCACGATACAACGAAACGTCAGTCAAGCATGCACACAACACAATTATTGTTCAGAGAGAGAGAGAGAGAGAGAGAGAGAGAGAGAGAGAGAGAGAGAGAGAGAGAGAGAGAGAGAGAGAGAGAGAGAGAGAGAGAGAGAGAGAGAGAGAGAGACCCGCTGCTTGAGGCGGTAGGAGAGGCCCCGTCACTTGGAGATTGCCTCATGGTCTTGGACCCCACCCTGGACCTCCCCTAGAGGGAGCCACGGGGGGGGGGAGGGGGAGGCTGCGTTGCAAGATGAGTAGGAGGCTTAGATTTGTGACGACTGTTGCGTGCCATACCAATACCTTGCATGTGTGTACTCCACGATTATCAATGAAAGGGCCATTAGAGAGAGAGAGAGAGAGAGAGAGAGAGAGAGAGAGAGAGAGAGAGAGAGAGAAATGATAACTGGGTTGTAACACCGAAAAGGCAAGCGGCATGATGAATCACATATATATGCACACATGCGCACACGCACGCACACGCGCACACACTGAAAAGAAAGGAGTCTGATCTCAAAACCTGAACCCGGCGCCCCAAACAAATCAGTCACGTCTCGTCTCCGTTCCAGCAACACCCACATTCCCCAATACCCCCCCCCCCCCCCCCCCCCCTCCCCCCCCTCCCCTCCCCCCACCCTCCCTCACCACATGTGGTACGTCCTTCCTCCTGTGCGCGGAATGTGCAGGAAGAAGAGCAGCGGTAGAATGGCCGCAGAGAGGATCAACACATACATTCCCAAACAATCTCTCCCCCCCTCCCCCCGCCCCGCCTCACCACATGTGGTACGTCCTTCCTCCTGTGCGCGGAATGTGCAGGAAAAAAAGCAGCGGCAGAATGGCCGCAGAGAGGATCAACACATACATTCCCAAACAATCTCTCCCCCCCTCCCCCCGCCCCGCCTCACCACATGTGGTACGTCCTTCCTCCTGTGCGCGGAATGTGCAGGAAGAAGAGCAGCGGCTGAATGAGCGGCTGCTTGGTCGCAGACAAATTCAGCGGTGGGGGAGCTTGCGCCAACTGCTCATCCACATACGAATTCACCGCAACCCTGCACCCCTCCTCCGTGATTGGCGCCTCGTCCGCGTATGCAGACACATGGGGGATAAACTCGCCTTCTGCCGTGTACATGTGCTCGTCCCTCCACGCGCCGTCGTCCACCTCCTCGGGCTTTGCCTGCCCGGGATGGTGATGGGGGGGACCGAAGGAGGGACCGGACGAGCTGCTGCCGTCGCCGCTGTCACCGCTGCCGCTGCCGCTTCCGCCACTGTAGCCGCCTCCGCCGTCGCCTCCGCCGCCCCCGCCCCCGTCTCCCCGCTCTCCCCCGTCTCCGCCTCCGTTCCCGTCAGTGGGTTGAAAGTTGAGGCTGTAGGGGTTGTCGGTGTAGTGCTGGTTGCCGGAACGCTGGGACTCCTGTTGCTGTAGCTGCTGCTGCTGCTCCTGCTGCTCTTCTTGCTGCTGCTGGGAGGGGCGGACTGTGAGGCGAAGAAGGGGGAAGAGAACGAGGGAAGAGCGGGAGTGGGAGAGGGATGTGGAGGAAAAGAGGAGGAATGGTGGAGGACTGTCGCACCAAGAGCGCACAAGCGTGAGCGGAAAAGAGAAGGAAGTGGAGGAAAATCCAAACAAAAGGGATGGTTTGAGCTAGAAACGTAAGCGCGTGAGAAAATTGACAGAATGAGAATTACGATTAGGTGGGATACCGAATCAGCTGAGACACATGATGGGGTGAGACAACTAAACGGGTGAAACACGTGACTGGGGGTCAGATACCTGATAGAGTTAGTAGCAGCAGCAGTGCCAGTGCGACAGCCAGCGATACGATCGGTCGGCACGCCATGGCGGACTCGCGGCGGATTAAGATCTTAAAATATAAACTGTCAGCTAGACTCGCAATCGTCGCAAGCGTCGCATATGGTTCGCGAGTGCAGTAAGAGGCTTGACGAAGGTGCTGCTGCTGCGGAGTACAGGGATGCGCAGGTAACGGAATCGACGGTTGATCTGAGTGATATGGTTCCGCGACGAGGAAGGACGGCTCAGATGACGTCGCGTGACTGCGGCTCGTGACTAGCCGACGAGAACCAATACCGCCGAATTTGACGGAGGGAAACTCCGTCGAAAGGACGTCGATTTCAACAAACGGAAAATCTTCTCCTGTTCCTACGTGAACCAAAGGCAAAACGTTTATGATTTTTTAAGAGCTGGGTATTCTGATCTGTCGCCACGCTTTTGATACTCTTGATGCCATGACAGCCTTCTGTGTGCCTAGCATTGCTGTCTCGCTCGACATGAGCGAGAGGGATGGGTTTGAGGACGTGTTGAACACGTGATTTGATTTTTGTTCGTAGCCCTACCCAAACGTAAAGAAGTGGCAATAGACCTCTCTGAAATGCACAGAACCGCACTTTACCGTAATAATGCGAACTCGTGACATAGCGTCGGTGCGTGTTTCAAACCCAACAGAAATCGAGGGAGTAGAGCTGTTCAGGAGGAATCAGGATTCACAGGACTCCCTCCCACACGGTCGTATACAGTATCGGGGGTTCCTTTGCAAGAAAGTGATCATCCGCCTGCCCACAAGTAGTGTTAGGCGGCCTAAGTCCGCTAAGGCCTAAGTCTAGAATAAACGCGGCGTAAGACTTTGGCTAAAGAGAGTGTTGGCGAAAGAGGCGAAGAAGTTACTAGGTAATTGGAGAAGAATTGAATGAGAATTGGTTGATAATGCCAAGTACAAGAGGGGTTTATATAGCATGCAAGAAACAAGGTTGGAAAGTAGATTGTGGGACTAGGAATTGTGAAGGTAGAAAAGTAGAGTGCCACGTGGCACATGGAAATCTAGGAAGATAAGGTTGGATGGGTTGGGAAAAGTACTGTTCGGAATGAACAGTAAAACCCCCTGTAACACTACCCCCCTCCCAAGGAGGCGACGTCCGCGGCGCCTGCAGACTGAAGGTACGCTTTGAGGCAAGCGTTGTCAGGAGACAGCGAGGACGAAGGAACCCAGCTGTCGTCGGCTGCATCGTAACCACGCCAACGAACCAAGAAGTCGATGAAAGAGACACCTCCCTGCAGACGGCGACGGTGCCTGAGGATGCGCTGGATCTGGTAGTCGGGCTCGTCGGTGTCAACAGCTACCGGCAGTGGAGTGCGATCACGGCCCGAGAAGGTGGATTTGGAATCGGTGTATGGACGAAGAAGAGACACGTGGAATGACGGGTGCATGCGGAAATGAGCGGGAAGACGAAGGCGGTATGCGACTGGACCAAGTGCGCGCTCAATGACGAATGGACCAATGAAACGTGGACGAAGCTTGCTGTCCTGTGGCAGTCGGAGGTTGCGGCTGTCGAGAAGGACACGGTCACCGACTGCGAACTGTCAGAATCACAGCCACTAACCACTGGGATAAAAGGGCTTGTTTGTGTGGCGGGTGAGTGCGCCCATAACCCCCCAGGCCAACGTGCCTGTAACCCTTCCCTAGGATCAATCGGGGATCACCAGTGGACCTCTGACACCCCCCCGCACTGGGATGCCCGAGGTGCACACACCGGGATTCGAACCCGAGACCTTCGCTCTGATAACATGTCAGAATCCCAGCCACTAACCACTGGGATAAAAGGGCTTGTTTGTGTGGCGGGTGAGTGCGCCCATAACCCCCCAGGCCAACGTGCCTGTAACCCTTCCCTAGGATCAATCGGGGATCACAAGTGGACCTCTGACACGAACGACACCTCACGACGACTGCGGTTGGTGGTGCGTGCCATGCGTGCATTTGCAAGCTCAAGGTGCTTCCTCACATGGTCGTGAATGAAGGTGAGGTGCTGGTGGAAATTTTCAGCACGTGGGACTGTGGGAGTGAGATCGACGCGAGTGGGGACATTGGGGTGCTGACCGTACAGTGCGAAGAACGGTGACATGCCTGTGGCGGAGTGGTGCGTGTTGTTGTATGCGAACTCGGCCATGCTCAGCTTCTTGTCCCATGCTGCTGCGTCGTGCATCGTGATGCTGCGAAGAATCTGCTCCAAGGTCTGGTTCACACACTCAGTCTGTCCGTCCGTCTCTTGATGGTACGCTGACGACATAGCTAAGCGAGTCCCAAACAGTGCGAAAAGCTGCTTCCAGAACTTCGAGGTGAATCTAGGGTCGCGGTTGATCGAATCTGGAACCCCGTGCAGTCGGACTACGTTATCTACGAACAGCGTCGCGGCTTCCTCTGCTGTGACCTGGCCGTGCGTGGGGATGAAGTGCGCTGCTCGAGAAAACTTATCCACTACCACGAAGATGGCAGCGTGACCCCTAACTGTGCGCGGTAAAGCCATGATGAAATCCATGGTAACTACCTGCCAAGGGCGGTCGGGCGGTGGAATCGGCTGCAAGAGTCCTGCTTTGCGCTGGCGGGATGATTTCGTACGCTGGCAGGTGTCGCACGAGCGAATGTAATCCTCTACGTCTGCTGCAAGCCCTGGCCAGTAGTACGTGCGACTAAGCGTCTTAGCCGTCTTATCTGCTCCAAAGTGACCTGCGCTAACTACATCGTGCGCCTCTGAGAGAAGGAGCTGTCGAAGAGGGCGGTAGGCTGGAACCCAAATCCGTGTTGTACCCTTCCGTATGTAGACACTACCCTGCACCTCTGCTCCTGCGGGTCCACGGCTACGGTGTGAAGTCGGGATCTACTGTGTAACCGTGCTCGAAGAGTGCTGTGAGAAGTGGATGGCCGGCAGTGACTGTGAGACTAGCGAGCTGACAACTAGGGCGAGTGAGCGGGTCGGCTGGGTTGCGTACGCCTGGCTTGTACTCTATCCTGTAATGAAATTTCCCCTCCATGAACTCCATCCATCTAGCCTGGCGACGACTCAGCTGCGGCTGCGACTTGAGAAAGCGAAGCGAACAGTGGTCCGTGCGTATAACACTATCTGCCCCCTCTAGGTAGCACCTCCACACCTTATACGCATGGATGATCGCTAGCGCCTCCTTGTCGTGTATGGGGTAGTTCAGTTCTGCTCCCCTAAGCTTACGCGACTCGTACGCGATCGGCTGCAACCCGCGTCCCTGGTCCTGAAGAAGGACTGCACCTATGGCCTGATCTGAAGCGTCGGTCACTACAACGTACGGGCGAGTGGGATCGGGGTACGACAGTGTCGGTGAAGACGTGAGCGACTGCTTCATCTGCTCGAACGCCTGCTGCTGCGCTGGACCCCAAACGTACTCTACGCCTTTCCGAAGTAGGTCGGTGAGTGGACTAGCGATGGAAGCGTAACCCTGAACGAAACGACGGTAGTAGTTCGCGAATCCGAGAAAGCTCTGCAACTCCTTGACTGAGGTCGGTGCTACCCAATCCTGTACGGCTGCGATCTTCTTCGGGTCGGTTCGAACGCCACTAGCGGAAACGACGTGACCTAGAAACTCGACCTCAGGGGAGGAAAAACTCGCACTTCGACTGCTTCGCTTACAGCTTCTCCCTCCGCAAGACCTCGAAGACCTTCTGCAAGTGCTGCACGTGCTCCTCTTTTGACTTAGAGAATATCAAGATGTCGTCTAGGTAAACTACGACGAACGAACCTAGGAACTCCGAGAGGACTGTGTTCATGAGCGTCTGGAACGTCGCCGGGGCGTTGGTCTATCCGAACGGTAAAACCCTAAACTCGTACAACCCCTGCTTCGTACGAAACGCCGTCTTGTGCTGGTCCTCTGGAACTACGCGAATCTGGTGGTAACCCGAACGAAGGTCGATCTTGGAGAAGACTCTAGCGCCCTGCACTGCATCTAGGAGATCCTCTACTCTCGGCACCGGGAACCTATTCTTGACGGTGGCGGCGTTCAGTGCGCGGTAATCTATGCACATCCGTAACCCTCCGTCTTTCTTAGGCGCGAAAAGGATCGGTGCGACCCAAGGCGATCTAGATGGCTGTATGAACCCCTGCGCGAGAAAGTGCCTAACCTGCTGCGTCATCTCCTCTGTCTCTGCTGGACTCAACCTCCACTGCGGCTTCGCTACTGGCCTGCTCCCCGGCTCCAACTCTATTCGATGGTCTACTGCTCGGCTGGGAGGTAACCCTGGGGGCAACTCGTCGGGGAAGACGTCTGCGAACTCTGCTAACAGTGCACTCACCTCAGCAGGAAGAGTCGCCTTCTCACTA